AATGAGGCAAAATGTGTTCCCCAGTTCCTAATTTTATCATAAGAACATAAGAACATAAGAATGCCTGTACTGGGTCAGACCAAGATCCATCTAGCCCAGTAGCCTGTCTGCTGACAGTGGCCAGCAGCAGTGCCCCGGAGGGGGTGGACCGAAGATGATGATCAAGCGATTTGTCTTGTGCCATCCATCTCCAGTGTCTAACAGAGGCCAGGGACACCATTCCTACCCCCTGGCTAATAGCCTTTTATGGACCTAACCTCCATGAATTTTTCTAGTTTCTCTTTAAACTCTGTTATAGGTCTAGCCTTCACAGCCTCCTTTGGCAAGGAGTTCCACAGGTTGACTATGCGCTGTGTGAAGAAGAACTTTTGCTGATTAGTTTTAAACCTGCTACCCATTAATTTCATTTGGTGTCCTCTAGTTCTTATATTATGGGAACTAATGAATAACTTTTCTTTATTCACCCTCTCCACACCACTCATGAGTTTATATACCTCTATCATATCCCCCCTCAGTCTCGTCTTTTCTAAACTGAAAAGTCCCAGTCGCTTTAGCCTCTCTTCATATGGGACCTGTTCCAAACCCCTAATCATTTTAGTTGCCCTTTTCTGAACCCTTTCCAAGGCCAAAATATCCTTTCATAAATGATTGTGTCAGGACAAGCGGAAGCCCTGGGAATAGGACAGTTTTCCATACTATGCAAAGGGAGGGGCTGCTGTTCAGAGGGACATGATATGAGAGTTGCCACTGAGGGCAGTGAGCCTGCAGGGGAAAGCTATCCTGCACAGTGTCCACTGGGGGCAGAAGTACCCCCAAGGGGTGTCCAGCAGTGCTGGGGCTCTGCCATCTTGCCTTCCACTGCCCCAAACCCTTTCCCCATCTCTCGGCCCTGGCAATGTCAGAAGCCGGGAGAAAAAAGTTCCCTGGTGGCTGTCAGGGGGTCTGGACAAAAGAAGAAAACAGGCCTCTAACAAGTGGGAGGATCGGGGGGAGGAGAGGACAGGCCCCTGGTGAGTGGCAGGGTCTGGGTGTGAGATAACAGGCCCCTGGCAGGCGGAGAGGTCACCCGCGGGAGGGGGGGGAGAGGGAAGAAGAGGGGAGAGAACAGGCCCCTGGTGGGCAGGTGAGCCTGGGAGAGAGAGAACATGCCACCAGCCTCCTGAACTCCCCTCCCCCAGATCCCCAAGCCCCTGCTCTGACGGACCCACATAATGCTGGGTAGGTCTGCTTGTTACAAAGTAAAGTGAAATAACCCCCCAGGAACTCTATCATGTGGCATCACATTGACACACACAGGCTTGGGTCTTGAGCTCATCCTAACTGATAGCTTGCCATTGTCTACGTGGACCAGCACTAGGGGAGGACAGGCCACTTTGCCAGTGGGTTTCGGATGTATGCTGACAGCAGGGGAATGGGTGACACCGAAATCTTGGGTTCCATTCCCTGCTCTTAAGACAAGTATGCTTTAGTGGGCAGAAGATTCCCAATGTGCCATTTCTGTCAAGCCATCTCTTCCTCACTCTTATTTCTTTCCCACCTCTGGCTCTTCGTCCCAGCCCCATTCTCCTCAGCTAGACATTCCTGGTCACAGCCCCTCAGCTTTTTCATCCCAGTCCAGTCTCCTTGCCCAGTTTCCCCAACACCTTATCCAATCTCAGTCTCTCACCCCCAACCCTCGGCTCCCAATTTTCCTCAGCCCTACTCACAGTATCCCTCTCTCCTGCAACCAGGCTGCTTAACCCAATGTAATCTGCCTCTGCCTGACTTCTCCCTCCCCACTTAAGTCCAGCTTTTGTCCCTCTGCAGACCTCCACTCCCTTTTCTGTGTTGCCTGGGCCAGCAGGGAGGGCATCAAAGTGCCCGAGAGACAGACTCTCTGCTCTCAGTTCCACTGCCCAGACCTGTCCGATTCTGCAGGAGACCCGAGGAGCAGTTGCTGAGAAAGTCCTGCTCACTGCCAGGCTGGAGCATGCCATGTGCAGATGGAATCTTCTGAAAATTTAGCTTGAAGCTCTAGTAAATTTCCACTGAGTGTAAGCAAATGACCATTTTTCAAAGGCTTATAACTCAGTCAAGTTTGATCACATTTTCTGGAGGAGAGCAAAGGATTCCCCATTGCCAAATTTCTAGGACTTAAAAAAGCTGCCAGAAGTATTTATCATGGGAAAGACTATAATTTTTCCTTGATCTTATTCTCAGAAACAAATTGTTTTACTGTTTTTTTTTCAAAAAATTCTACCTAATGCAGAAACCCAGCATAGAAAATTTCAGTCCAAACAACACTGAGGGTGCGTATACACAGCACCCTAAATTAAAAATAAGATATGTAATTTACTCTATGCAAATTGCGTATCTTATCTTGAAATAGCTTATTTTGAAATTTGTTGTGTCTATAGAGTGCCAAATTTTGAAATAACATGCTATTTCAAACCATTCCTTAACCTTCGTGCAACAAGGTTTACCAGGATGGCGAAATAAAGCACCTGTTATTTTTAAAAATGTGTAGATGTGGTACACCTCTAGTATCCCAAAATATCTGTGCTATGTAGACATACACTTGGGTTATGTCTACACTGTAGGCTTCTTGCGCAAGAATGGCCGTTCTAGCACAAAAACTTGTGGAGTGTCTACACTGCACGCGCGTTCTTGAGCAAGTAAATTTACAGTAAAGCGTCAGAATAGAGGGCTTCTTGTGCAAGAATTATTCCTCTTCCCACGAGGAATAAGCCCTCTTGCGCAAGAAGGCAGTGTGGACAGGCAACAGGGGCTTCTTGCGCAAGAAACCCCTATGGCTAAAATGGCCATCGGAGCTTTCTTGCGCAAGAGAGCGTCCACATTGCCATGGACGCTCTTGTGCAAAAGCACATCTCTTGCGTAAAAGCACATGGCAGTGTGGACGTGCTCTTGTGCAAGAATTTTTATGCAAAACAGTTCTTGCGCAAGAAGCCTGCAATGTAGACATAGCCTTAAAGTTTAGCAAAGTTAAAAGCACCAGAAAAGAGGATCTTATAATGGGAAGAATTAAGCAACATCATTATTTGCTACTAGTCCCACCTACAGTGGTCCAATATTAACATTAAGGTTGTGCAATTCATCATATAAAATACCTAAGTTAAAAAAAAATCGCATCTTCAGCTCCCCTATTCTGTGTGCATTATAGGATATAGTTTTTAATATAGTATACAATTGTACCCTATTCTCTTTCGTAATTCTTCATAATGGTTGCAATCTGCTTCTATTATGAAGTCATAATTTTGCTCCCCTATAACTAGGTCTCTATCCAATTCGTAGTCCATTTTGGTCAATTTCATTGTCATGGGATTTAAAAAATTGTAAATTGCATGATTTCAGCTATTGAAATCTGAAATTTCATTGTGTTGTACTTGTGAGGGTCCCGAACCAAAAAGAAGTTGTACTCTGCTCACAAGTTTATTGTAGGGTGGATTGTGATACTGCTACCCTGATTTCTGCACTGCTGCTGGTGGCAGCATTGCCTTTAGAGCTGGGCAACTGGAGAGTGGCTGCTGCTGGCTGGGAGCCCAGGTCTGAAGGCAGTGTCCCGCCAGCATCAGGGCAGAAGTAATAGTGGCTATAGTGTACTATGCCATGCTTATTTCTGCACTATTGTGTTCAGAGCTGGGTGCCTGTTATGGTGTTGCCTCCCTTACTTCTGTGTTGTTGTCTACAAAATTAAGCCCTCAGTCAACAGCCACCACTGTTCGATTACCCAGTTTTGAAGGCAGCAGTGCAGTAGTGAGAGTGGCAATATCGTGACTCTCCCTAAAATGACCTTGTGACCCCCTCAACTCCCTTTTGGGTCAGGACCCCCAATCTGAGAAATGCTGGTCTCCTCAGGAAATCTGATTAGTATAGGGTAAAGCCGCAGGAAAGATCAGATTTCACGGTGAGAGACGCATAGTCTGTGAGACATTTTTCATGGCTCTGAATTTGGTACACGTTTTGGTTTGGGAAATTCATTTTGTCTGAAAATTGCCAGACTTCCTCTGAATGCCAAGGCAAATATTTCTTAAAGTTTGAGATCACTAACCACAGAATTTAGCTCTAGCTTGCTAGAGTGTATACAAAACTTTGTTCATAACCTATTTGCATGCAGCTTAATTACAGTCATCTAGCCGGTGAAGTAACACACCTCTCTTGATTTTTAGGAACAACATGCCAGATAGACTAGGCTGAAATACTGCTAGTTTGTGGCATTCCACACAGCAGGCCCAGATTAACGAGAGTGCATCAGGTGACCTTCCACATGGCCTCCATTTCTCTATTTGGGAGAAACAACCTCCCAAACATATAGTGACAAAACAATCCAAGGCCACAAGAGTGGCAGTTTAGAACAGTTGGAGTCTCTGCCAGCATGCTGTGGTGAGAACCAATAGTCCAGAGCAGGGAGTCAGGCCGGATCCAAAGGACAAACATTGCTGTGGGTTGAGTGAGAAACAGATTCACTCTTCAGCCCCCTCCACAGGACCACTCTCACACCAGGGTTAGGACTGACTTCCCCCTACGGAAGATATTAGAGGCACCCCAGCCATAGTGCACTGGGCAGCAAAATTCTTTAATCCAGCACTGCCTAAAAAGCTCTCAATAGGACTGGCACGCATTATGTCACATGCTACCATTGTTCAGTTCATGAGGTTTTCATAATAGCTAGGAACGGACGGCACGATGCTTGCTGTAACCCAGGTGCACACATAAGGGAACAGAACCCTTCTCACCCAGCTGGGCCAAAAACTCCCCAAAGAGCCCTACCTTGGTGTAAGAAACTGGAATGGAAGAAAATCACATAGAACACTCAATATTAGATGCCCACAGTGAAACCAAGGGAAGGATGTAGAACTGCCAGAGTTCCTGATCACACTTAGAAGAGGACAGAGAACTAATAACTGTTTGGATTACTCTATTACCTCACCTGTCTTCTGAATTCACATAATGCCCTGAATTTATGATTAGAGTCACTAACTATCATTTTTCTTTTCTTCTAGATCTGCTTCTGCCAGAACCCCTGGAAGAAATCAGGAGTTAATGGCAATTGGAGTAATTCAGTGTTTATTTAACTGAATGTTTTGCAATTACATAAAGTATAAGAACACGTGAAGGTAGCTGTCTCCTTCTTAAGCACTCTCTGCATGTTGCTTATTTTCTTAGCGTGTCTAGTCTTTGGGAGAGGAACTTTTTATCTACTCTGTTTGTATAGATTCTAGCACAATGTGGCCATGAGCTAAAAGCAGTGATGGTAAGTGAAACATCAGTGCATCAGGGCAAAATGTAGCCCAATGTGATCTAAAAAATGATGTGAACTATTATTCAGAAAATAACATCTGATTTGTTTCACCACACAATTACTGTACTACCAGAATTTAAACCATAAAGTACTCAGGAATTCTTCAATTATGCAAAGTACTATTATGAAATCAATTTCTATGATGGTTTATATAACGTACATTCATAAATGTTCTTTAATTAAATGTAATATTTTATGGTTTCTTAAAAATGGGATAAGCTTCCACATACGCTCTAATCTCAGAAATTTCTGAGCAAAGCTTTTTAATCATTGCACAGCACATTCATAGTTCCCTTACATGTTTTCTGGTTTAATGTATTTATTTTATTAGTTCAAATTGCATTTGCTTTAGAACCTGTTGCCTGTTGTTCCAAGATCTCAATGGGTCAGACTTTGGTTTGAGTGAGTGATATCTCATTTCATTGCAAATAAACAAACAACAGAATAACTAGAAGGCAGTCGTGCCCCTTTGGTGAGAAGGGCTCAGTCCCAGCTGGGAACAGGCAAAGCAGCATCATTTTCACTCCAGCACAAAGTGCCTATTCTTGATGACTCCACTAAAGGAAGCAGAAGCAGAGTGACTCCTAGCAAAGCACATCTGCACGGCTGTATTTCACAGGAAGTAATGCAGCTCCTCTGCAGATAAATTTCAGTGAAGAACAAAGAATGATTTTGTTCAATGCTTCAAGAATGATGCCTTCAAATCTGGACTTAGCTTTTCAGTTCCTGAAAACAAGACTCAGAGAGCTCAAACTAATCCCCCCTTCCCAAATTAAGCACAATGGCTTTCAAACTAGCCTCCGTTTTCCATGTGAAGAAAGCTTAATAATGCTCATTAATCTCCTTTGCTGTTTACATGCTTTATTAGACTATTTTACCAACTAAATACAAGTTAGCACATTTGAGATAAACAGTAGAACAGTAATAGCTACATGGGATGTGGAGAATGTAGCCCCCGAAGGAGACCTGCCTTAAAAATGAAGCAACAGAATATGTGTAGCTAAGAACAAGACAAGATGCATAATAGTGGCCTAACAGACATTACTGTCATTGATTGCAAATATATTCTGATCCTAAATCTTTTCTCAATGCCATAAACTTTGGAGGCATTCTCTCTACCACACTTGGTTTTCTAGTAGCTAGACATTTAACATGAGACAGTGAGGTGCTTTTCTGAATGATACAAGCAGCTTTTACTCAGGAGTCAGATGTAGTTAGGAGCCAAAACATGATCATATTAAAAACAAACAGCTGAGCAAAGATTACCTCTTGCCTTCTCTTTTAGCATGTGCAACAGATTCTGATAAATGCAGAAGAGAGATTATCAAGTACTCTGTTATAGTCCACTTTTCTATTTAATTTCAATTGTTTAAAATGCCCTTGTCTTTCTTTAAAAGCTCAAATGCAATTCCTTTCTCTATTAGTTTTGTACTTCCCTTCTCAGAAAAGAGTGATTTAATCCTACACAGCTTTTCTCTAAGTGCCTTGAATAACATTTTTAGTGAGATTGGTGGTAGGGTTTATGGGAAAATAGCTAAAATAAAAAATATTCACACAATTTAAATGGAGCCTAAAAGTTAAAAACAAGTCAGCTGTCCCCTCCAACTCCCAATTTCAGCAGTTTACCTTTTTATTAAATAATAGTAGAATATTTTTATGGCAAAGTTCTCAAACTGTGGACTTCTAGACTGGAATACAGTATTTTTTCTCATAAGTATTTTGGCATTTCTTCTCTCCAGATAGGAATAACATTTCTGAGATTTCATGAGAATGGTCTGCAGAAGGTCACAGCATTTCAATTGGGTCTCTAAGGCAACTTAGCGATGAATGCTCTAACATATATTTTTCCTTGATGTCCCCTGGATTGGAAGGTAAACTGAAAGACAATGTGTTTATACTGGCTCCGGTTTCAAGAATTGGAAACCATACTGGAAGGATGTTGTTGCCTCCTGATTTGGCAGTTGGAGACTACACTGGAAACTTGCACATTTACTGTGGCTTGGGTGTCTAGGACTGGAAGTTGTGTTGATGGTAGCTCAGATACACTGGGGAGCTGCAACTTATTGGCTTTCTCTTTAGATCACTAGAGAAAATGAGCCTCCAAAGGGTGGCTATTGATATGATCTTTCCTTATCTCTTAAGACAGATAAGGTATTGTAATAGGGTAGTTTTCTCAGTTTATACAAACTATTCTAATATCATTATATAAACCATAACAACATTGCATTGTATTGTAAAGCAGAATAGCAAAAGAATGTAACAGCTCCAGTTTTGTAACAAATATGTAACAATCCAACTGCTAAGTATAGTAACCCAATGAATGCAGATGTAACATCCAATGTGAGCCTTTAATGTATCATCTTGAACAGTGCATGTAAATGATACAGGACTGAAATATCTGAATGCATATGCATCCACTCATTATGTTTATAAATGTAATATCTATGTGAAACTAATTTAAAAATGAAGCAACAGAATATGTGTAGCTAAGAACAAGACAAGATGCATAATAGTGGCCTAACAGACATTACTGTCATTGATTGCAAATATATTCTGATCCTAAATCTTTTCTCAATGCCATAAACTTTGGAGGCATTCTCTCTACCACACTTGGTTTTCTAGTAGCTAGACATTTAACATGAGACAGTGAGGTGCTTTTCTGAATGATACAAGCAGCTTTTACTCAGGAGTCAGATGTAGTTAGGAGCCAAAACATGATCATATTAAAAACAAACAGCTGAGCAAAGATTACCTCTTGCCTTCTCTTTTAGCATGTGCAACAGATTCTGATAAATGCAGAAGAGAGATTATCAAGTACTCTGTTATAGTCCACTTTTCTATTTAATTTCAATTGTTTAAAATGCCCTTGTCTTTCTTTAAAAGCTCAAATGCAATTCCTTTCTCTATTAGTTTTGTACTTCCCTTCTCAGAAAAGAGTGATTTAATCCTACACAGCTTTTCTCTAAGTGCCTTGAATAACATTTTTAGTGAGATTGGTGGTAGGGTTTATGGGAAAATAGCTAAAATAAAAAATATTCACACAATTTAAATGGAGCCTAAAAGTTAAAAACAAGTCAGCTGTCCCCTCCAGCTCCCAATTTCAGCAGTTTACCTTTTTATTAAATAATAGTAGAATATTTTTATGGCAAAGTTCTCAAACTGTGGACTTCTAGACTGGAATACAGTATTTTTTCTCATAAGTATTTTGGCATTTCTTCTCTCCAGATAGGAATAACATTTCTGAGATTTCATGAGAATGGTCTGCAGAAGGTCACAGCATTTCAATTGGGTCTCTAAGGCAACTTAGCGATGAATGCTCTAACATATATTTTTCCTTGATGTCCCCTGGATTGGAAGGTAAACTGAAAGACAATGTGTTTATACTGGCTCCGGTTTCAAGAATTGGAAACCATACTGGAAGGATGTTGTTGCCTCCTGATTTGGCAGTTGGAGACTACACTGGAAACTTGCACATTTACTGTGGCTTGGGTGTCTAGGACTGGAAGTTGTGTTGATGGTAGCTCAGATACACTGGGGAGCTGCAACTTATTGGCTTTCTCTTTAGATCACTAGAGAAAATGAGCCTCCAAAGGGTGGCTATTGATATGATCTTTCCTTATCTCTTAAGACAGATAAGGTATTGTAATAGGGTAGTTTTCTCAGTTTATACAAACTATTCTAATATCATTATATAAACCATAACAACATTGCATTGTATGTATGTATTTTCTTATATTTTATTCCAAATAGTGTATACACACTCTGGTCATAATTCTGTGCGTTACCTGAACATAACCCACAGTTTGTGTTATCAGTGTGTATAACACTTTTTTCTTATGTTTTGTTGATAATCCAACTAATAATAATTAAACAGGGAAGAAGTCTAAAGTTAGCACCCAGGAAATATGTTCTTGTAAACTCATAGAAGGACCAGGGAGATAACTTGTAATCTTGAGATCACACAAAAGCAAAATAAGGGTTAATCTGATGGCATCATATCTAATTATTACCCTGTAATAATAAATGGCTACACTCTGGTTACAATAAGCATTTGGGTCAACAGATGTTGTTGTGATAGTGAAAAAGGCTGTTCATGTAGCTTTTCTAGCCCTGAAGTAGGAAGTACAAGAAAATGTCAACAAAAAGTTCTTTTCTTTCCCATTTTCCATCTTAGGTCAGAAGAAAAAAAATTAGCGACTTGCTGATTACACTGGCTCCGGGGTTAGCCTTTCAACATTAACATTTTGGGATGATTTCTTCAGCCAAAGCTTTGAAACTTTTCCAGTTCTCTCATTACTAAATTTAAACTAATTTTCACACAGCACGAGCAGAGGAAAAGTAAAAAGAACCCTGGAACAGTGTCCTTATTAATCAGCTCTCTCAAAAATTAGGAATAAACTAGAGGTTACTAGACATTAGTAAGATTTCATAGAGCCACACTAACTGAAGTCAGCAACTCTCGGGGCTAGCACTGATAGGCTAGATAATTGAACCCAGAAAGATTACCATGACTTAACTTTTGTAACTTGAGTTCTAAAATTAGGCACCTAATTTGGACTGATTTCCAGAGATGCCAAGCATGGGCACTAAGTTCTCAAGTGCACATTCAACACTGGAGCCAGTTCAGCATTTTTGTCCCACTGCATTTTGTCCCAAATAGGTGTGGCATGCTCTTGCTGTTGCAGTATGTATGGGCCTCTTACTCCTCTCCAGCAGCTCCTGCTCGACCTGCCCCCAACCCCTACCACGCTTCCATTCCACCCCTTCCCCCAAGCCCACCCTCATCCTGTCTCTTCCTAACCCTGCTCTGCCTCCACCTGCCACCGTTCTACCCCTTCCCTCCAACCTCTGCCTCTTCTCTGCGTGCACCATATGCCTGCTCCTCCCTCTCCCTCCTGGAGCATCCCAAATGCTGCAAAAAATGTCTTGCACCAGGTGTGAGGTGCTGGTAAGGAGAAGGAGGAGTTGGCCAGCATGAGAGAGGGGGAGAGGGGGGCAGAGAAGGAGCTTGACTAAGCACCAGCTAATTTATCCCCGAGGCTGCTCCAGCTGCAGAGTACACTCGGCGTTGGTGCTAGTGACTGAGCTCATTCATTAGCTGGAAAGGGAGAGCATCGGGAGAGCAGTGCAAGCCAATTCTTGAGTTGCTGGGCTTATTGTGCCATCCCGTCATCTGCTGTGGACAAGATGTTGGTTCACCTGAACAGCTCCTTCCCTCTGCTCCCTTCCCCCATCTGAAACCCCCTACTGGCTGGTGGGCAGCTTCTCTGCTCACGTCTCAGACTCCTCACTGTTCCCTGAAGATTAGGTAGTGGAGGCCTAGAACTAAAACAGAACCACATGTGCTTAAGTATCCTTGAGCAGTGCAGGGGGCCTTCAGCAGCCTGGAGGAGGGGGATGGAAGGGTCTGTCACTGTTAATTGTGATGGCTCATTAATTGCAGGGCCGGTGGCGTTAATAGGGTGCGTGTTTGGGGGTGGGAGACAGAATCAGCATAAATTGTGTTTGTGGAAGGCATGTATTGTACTTGGAGCCGACAAAGCAGGGACCCTTCTCGCTTTCCCCCAAGGTGCCTCACAAGCTGACAGAGCAGGGGTCCTGTCTCTAGTTCAATAGTATCCTCAGCATGGACCCAGTCCAATTCACATCCCAAATAACCAAAACACTGAACACATGTTCTATTACATGACAAGCTATGGGCAAAAGATTACAATGTTTTTCCAATGATAAAACCTATTTTTAAGGATCATCTCCCACCATAGGATACAAATAAACCTACTTTACAATCTGCAACAGCTGCCACCCACCCCCAAACACACAGTTGAGCTGCCATAGATTGACAACAGGTTTATTTATTTCCCACAGTGAGAGAATATCCTTAACAAAAGGTTCTGCAGTTAAGAGTTTTATAATCTGTCAATTATAAAGTGACATGCAACAAAGAATGGATGCTTCATGTTTTTATCATATGTCACATATTCGCAAGTTTGAATGCCAAGGTTCATGCCCATGTCTCTCACTAACTTTCCAAGATGGAAAATTTTGGGCAATATGTACTTTTTTACTACAGTTATTATTTGAATTTAGGGAATACTAAGTTGAATCCAAACTTAAGATTTTTCAAAAACATAAATTCTCCCATTTCTCCCTCTGCAAGCCAGATTAATAGCTTCCTATAGCCAAGGATACAGTCTGTAAACAATGGAAAAATTCATCATCATCACCATATGCAGACTGACTTGCTACATTTTCTAGCATAGTTCTTACAGACACAATTACATATGCCAAAGACCAGAAACACCATATGCTCTCTAGCAGACATGGTCTTGAGCCCTTTACATTCTCTTCACTGTCTCTGTTATTCTCTCAAACTACACAGTGTACAAAACAGAATGCCCTAAAAATTACACATAGGCAAAATGGACATGAATACATGAAACTATGACATATTGTTGACTTATTCAGAACCCATGATGGCTGTGCTCTGTGATATTCTGAACTATAAATTAAAGACACCTCCAGAAAGCTTTTGAATCAACTTCAATAGCCTACTCACATTTTCAGCAGTAGATATTTTTGATACCACAGATTAGGAAGTGGGCTGTGTCCACGAAAGCTCATGATACTATCTATCATTTTTGGTTAGTCTCTAAAAGGGTTTCAGGTAAACAGAGCGAGGCCTGGCACAGAGTGGGCGTATGCTGCAAACTCTGAAGGGCAATAGCTGCGGGCACACTCTCTTACTGAGGGCTGAGCTGAATTTAGTATAATCTAGTCCTCAGTTATTTAAAAACCAGAAACGAGGGTAGACACCAAACTGGGTGTGTCAAAACAATCTGCCACTGAGACAAGGGCAGGAGTGGGGAGAGCCATTGCAGGGGTTAGCTCGAGACTTGCAGTACCCCATCTCACCTGGAAAAGTATTTCCCTGTAGAGGAAATGGTCCCCTCCACAGCAAGGGCCCTTCAGAGAGCCAGCAACAAATGGTGGCCTTCATTTTGAATCACTGGGTTCTGGGCATGCTTGTGATGTATTGCCCCCACAGCACCACCTGGTGGCCAGAATGAATGTGGCCGTCTGCCATTCACTAGCCACCATGATAGTTTCATGATCTTGTCTTGGTCATTTGTTCTACTTTAACCTCTCTTTGTTGTTAGACAGCACTAGCATCTCCTTGTCCTCACAGTAAGCTAAGAGAACCTATTGTTTGTAATAGGTTTTAAAGGGAGGAAAATAGAAAAATAACAAGCTGTGAGCTGGGTGTAGGAGGTGGGGAGGAGAGCAGGGATCTATTACATTGATTTCCAGGTGAAGCAATTCAGGTCTCCTTAAATCCCAGGGCAAAACTGAGATTAAGTACCCCAGGATGTGTACTTCTGATAGCAATTCCAGAGCCAATGAATGGCGTAATAAAGTGATCATCATGGGGTTAATTGGGAATCAAGAATATT